TGTCCGTAACTTTTTTTTTTTTTAGGTTCAAAAGTTTTATTTCTTTTAAAACAAACATTTCATCATTCCTCAATCAGTAAGACATCGAAGTACAATTTTTTGTGTGTCAAAATAATTCTAGTTTACCACCAAATTCTTGTCTAGCCTAATGTATACTGTCCATAACTTATTTTGAAGGCCAAGAGCTATGCTTGGTCTTTGAGAAGTAAACAAGAGTTGGTATTCTAGTAAGATCTGCAGTTCCAGGAAATATTATTTACTTTAATGTAAATTATTTTAAAATTGTTTAAATAGAAGAGTTAATGTAATTGCCTTTATTTAATTTTATCCCATTTCTATTTTATTAAAAATAGTAAGACTGTCAATTTTTGAAGATTTCCTGGAACCTGCTCTTTTTCTCTCTATATATATACTTTTTAATCTAGCTTGCTTCCAAAATATAATTAGTGCACAACATGTAGAAAAAGGCCCCCAGTAAGCTAGAATATTTTCCAGGGTAAAATGTATTTATGAAAAACCATGTTTATGAACAAAATGCCCAAGGAGAGGGATAATGGGGTAGGCCTGGACATCTCTTTTCTCATGAAGCCACCTGACCCAGAGGTGGGAAATCTTTGACACCTCTCCCCACCCCACCAGCTGTTGGATTGCAGTGTCCCTAAGACTAGCCATCAAGGAAATTTATTGAATATGGAATTGCAGTTGAGATATCTGAAGTACATATTTGTCAAATGAGATATGAGAACTTGAAATGATTCACTGAACACTAGGTTTAAGAACATGGTAGAATGAAGGCATTCTCCCCTAATCTAGATTACAAAGAATGCACTTCTATGAGATATAGAGATACTCATGTTTATATGATTTTATTTGTGTTTAGGAGATGGGACATGGAGAACTAGTGGGTGCTTGACAATGTTGAGCTATAATTCTGTCCACCTCAGTCAATGCAGTGTGTGGGTTGATAGGAATAGACTGCAGGAGGCTTTCTAGTTCCCAACTATTGCATCAGACAAATTGGGGGAGAAAAAGACATACCAGTGGCTGTTACTCATAATAGCTAGATTCTTCAGTAGAACGGAAGCATGATTGCCAGATACTGAAACCAAGCCAAGAGAAAAGATATGTCCAAGCCTTCTGTCAAGTCACTGAAAGTTGCAGGATACTAGACCAGGTGAAGTTTTGGTCTGACCCAGCATTTACCAATTTGTATTCATACTTTGCACTAGAGAACAGCAATTTACAGAATTTTTTCCTATTAATTTTTCCCTTTAGCTTTATGGGGCTGATGTTAATTTCTCTATTTGGGGAATAAATACTGGAGGAACACAAGTGGGCATACAACCCTTACCAACTACTACCATCCACTTGCACTAGATATCTGAACTGGTGCAATTGGACTCTTGAAGTTCCTGTCAATAGAATTCCTGGATATAGGCTTGGGGAAATGATGGTTGAACTCAAGGATTTGGAATACAGTAGTACCTTGATACTCAACTGCTTTGAAACTCATCAAATTTGGTACTCAAAGCATTTTGATATGAAAAATTTGTCCCGATACTCATCGTTTGTTTGGTACTCAATGCATAAGCTAGAACTTGTCAATGTTGGCTACCTTGTGACTCACTACATTATTCCTTATGGGAAAAAATTAATTGATACTCACCGGTTTTGGTATTCATTGAGCGCCTCCCTGAACCAATTAACTATGAGTACCGAGGTACCATTGTGTCTCACTATAGTTCTGCTAAAGCATTTAAGGTTTTTTTTTAAAAAAATTATAAGTGAAATTAGCTTTGGTTTCTCCATCTTGATTCCTTCCAGGCAGCTGAACTACAACTCTCATCATTCTCATCAAGAATGGGATATCTTCAAAGCATCAGTCAACTTCAGAGCTAAATGGAGATTTTCTCTACTCAAACCCCAACATCCACTGTTTTACATCTCAGTTGACTTTGCCTTTCTTAACTCATTAATTATTCTTCCCTTCCACCTCCACTCATACTTTTATTATGTATTTATGCTTGCAGTCAACTCCAGATTCAGGCAGTCCTGGGCAGCCAGCTCCTTTTCCTTCTGCCTCACGACCACCACCACCAATTCTACCCCCTCCATTTGTAAGTTCACCATAATGCAAGTTGTATTTAACAGTATCCTAAATGTTTTTATGGAAATATAAGGGGTGTCATTGGTCTATTCTATGTTATATGGTTGCAATGCCTGGAGAAATGGGAGTGAGCCTGAAGCATGTTTTGATTGGGTTCCAGTTTTGGGAGTTGAAAGCTCATGGCTTCTGCACCTGAAGTTGGATCAGAAATGCCTTCTGCTATGTTTGGAAGCAGCCAAGTCAATTTTTTCTATATTTTCTAGGTGCTGTTATAAAATAAGAATAACCAAGCTAAAAAAAGATGAAACGTGAAATTAGAGGACTACCTCAAAAATAAAATCTAGATCTTAATTATTACTCATGCAATAGACATTACGTCAATAAATTCATTCTTCCTACGACATGGGGATTTCATTTGATTGCTTTATTATTTCCAATGAATTTATTTATTTAATTTGTGATCTAAATTCAGCAGATGGAAGGGAAGCAAAGAAGTTGTGTGTATTTATTGGGACATTAATTACTGTGGTGCAGCCTACCTCAATCTGGTCCACTCCATGAATTTAAGTGGCCGTAATCTACAGATTAGCTTGTAAAGGTAAATTGTAGCTTTGGGATCATTATCTAATATGTCAGTTGCACATAACTGAGGTAGGATTATAAAAATCTAATGTTGGGCATACCAGCATCCTTTCCTTCTCCAAGTGTGATGCTGCTGGATTGAGACTTTGTCTGTGGTTGGCCCAGAATATATTCTGCTTTGGGCACAGGTATATGTGTTTCTTTTCTTCTTCCTAGATGCCTCCTCCTGGGATCCCACCACCATTTCCACCCATGGGAATGCCCCCAATGGGACCACGGCCACCTCCTATGCCGCCTATGCCCCCCGGCATGATGCCACCTCCCCCTATGATTCAACCTATGCCTGGACCACCACCCCTGGGTCAGGTAGTGCTGGTTCATGTTTGTCTTTACCTTTTGTTCCTCCAGTTTGCAATATGTATAATGGCTTGGTCTTCTCTTTTGTCTCTAGATGCCCACGATGGTGCCACCAATGCTGTCTGGGATGATCATGCCGGGGGTGCCAGCTGGGCCTATTCCTGTTTCTGGAGGAGTGAGTATCAGAAAGGACAGTGGTTTAGGGAATTAGAATAGGGTGTGGCACAAGAGCTTGCATACATACTGCAATGGCCTTCATAACAGGGCTCCTTCTTTAATTTGGAAATGGATACATGATGCTCTTTAACCACTTGGTTGAGCACACCCAGTTGATGGATGATGAAGTGATCAAGGTGTGGCCTTCAGTGCAGAGAAGTAAGCATAGCTGTTTGAGCTTTAGCATCACTTGAACATGGTAGGAAACAGGCATGCACTAGGATTATGGTCCTCCAGTTGTTGCAAAACCACAATACCCAAAAGCCCTAACCTACACCATGGAGAGAATGATGAAAGACCCTATTTCTGTTTTACAAACTCGCAGACCAAAATCTCCCAAACAGCTTGAAGAGAGAATGACTTGGTATTTTCTTTGTCATTCATTCGTTTGTTCATTTGTTCATGCATTCATTCCAGTATACCATCCTTCCAGAGGTCTGTTTGACCTCCTTCCTGTTGTGCTTTAAAAAAAGCATTTGAAAATTTGGCTTTCCAAAATGGCAATAGGCCAAAGTGTATTTTGCAGTCCCCTTGATTCATGAGGGATTGTTGAAATTGGGTGGTGGGAGTTGCCCTTTCCCCAAATATGTATTTTCTCTAGTTGTTTTTATTGAGATTTTAATTGTAAGATACTTGAGATCACAGCTTACAGTCTGATAAATATATTACAGTTGTTGCTGTAAAATTCTACTTCTAGTATTTAGGTTCTTTAACTAGTTAATTCATTTGAATGGAAAAATAGTTCATTAGTTTTGATTTTAGGTGGTTTAATTGTTTTCCATTTATGGTATTATACTAAACTCTTCCATTGATTTTAGGAAACATCTATGCATTTTAATTTGTATTTTCTAACATTCTATAATTGCATAAAACGAGTGGCCATAATAAAGTTAACCAACGAATTGACATAAAACTTTACTTTAGTTATTTAAAGTTAACATGAATAAATAAAGCAAAGTGCAATAGAGAAAGACTGAACATGGCCAGCACCAGTATAAAGAATTGAAGGAAAAATAAGAAAAAGAAAAAATAAGATGAAGCTACTTCATCAGAATTTAACTTTTTCTTTGACAGGCAGCTCCTGTTACTGACCCATCCAACAGTGAGTATCTTCAGGGATTTGTTTAAATATAGTTTTGGTGTGACCTAGTTCAAGAGATGCTTATTAAATCTGGTGCGAGAATCATGCCATGTTTCCCCCAGCAATAGAAATTTGGGCCTTTTTATCTTTGCATACTTGACTGAATGTCTGCAGGTACTGTCCTTGTTAGGCTGCATCAATTGAGTTTCTCACCCTTGTACAACTTTTAAAGTTCTGAATGGAGAAGAGAGGTAGGTCTTGGCAACACCACATGAGCTGGTTCTTTATTGCAACCGCATTTATCATTCCAGATTGTATTTTGTGTCAGTGATACTGTGAATTCCAAGATATACCATTCTCTTCCATTCCAAGTGAACCATCCTAATTGCCTCTCATACAATAAGGGCCCAGTGAAACCCTGCGTTCTGGAGGCAGCAGCTTGGCATTTCTGGACCAAAAAGTTGGACTAAATAGGCCATTGGCCCGACCCAACAAGTTCATCTTAAGATCTTATGTTTGCCCTATTTGCTGTCCCTGGTACCTGTTGCTTCCTTGGAGGACAGTAGGGTTTCTTCTTTGAATGATCCCTGACCACAACTGCTCCACTTTTCTAAGCTCTGTTCTTATTTTCTAGCCACAGTGACTCAAGCAGCATCTGTGGTGAGTATCTGCACAAATGATTTCCTAGATGTGGAGTTAAGGAATTATGTGAGGAATTAAATGCATCCTGAGGTTTTCAAAATAATACATAGCTCTTCAAAGTATGGGGTAACACCTATTTTTTTTAATATGGAGATATACAAAACGTACGTAGTTTGTTTAACTTTACTTGAAATTGATTGGGTTCACCCAATGCCGTAAGTCCCAAGTATTTATTGGCCTCATCTGTTCTGTAAAGCTAACCATTGAACAATCTATGTAAAACCAAAAGCAGGGGTAGGTTGAACTGTTTACCTACAATTGAAAATGACTGGAAGGAAGGAAGTCCTAAATTGTGCTTTTAGTTTAGACACTAGGCATGTGTTGGTACTCTTTGTGGTTTTGATCTAGCCTTTCTGTCTTTCTCATACTCTAGATTTTCTTTTCTGTCTTTTGCCACTCCCACTGTCCCAATAGGCAGGACCCTTAATTGTGGGGGGTGAGGATTAAGGACATGCCAGGTGGGATAGCAGATCTAAAGGTGTTATCGAATTGGGGCAGGATGACTAGTAGGAATATAAGATTAAGCACTAAAACAGAGTTATCCTGAGGTAAGATGGGTGGCCAATACATTTTATAAATGAATGAATGATACAAATGTTTTTTTCCTACTTTGTTTCTTCTTCCTGTCCCCTATATCCAGGGATCTATCTTATTTTACTTCTCCTCTTCTGCTTTAAATTTAAATGCTGCTTTACATTTCAGATCCCCATGCAACAAAATGTAATTCTTGGTGGCTCTCCAGTGTTGGATACAGGGCGAAAGGTAAAAAGTCTCAGTGGAGAAAAGGCATCAGGTTTCTTGATGTCATCTCTTTTTGTTCCAGGAAGCAAAACAAGGTTGCCATGTTGGCATTCCACTGATCCAAAAATGGTTCACAGAAGGTTCACACCAAGAACCTAAAAAGAGCTCCGTTGTTTTGTGCTGGAAATCATGACCAGCACAGATGAACATCTGGAGAGAGTGTCCTAACAATTTTGGTGTTTTATCCCAAGAAGCAGTGTAGTCTTAATTCTTTGTCTGGTTTCCTCGTGCTGCTTCTCTAGTATTTGATCTTCAGAAATTAAAAAAAAAAGCTACCTTTCCTCTCCTAGAAAATAAATAAAGTGCCTTCCAAGGCGCAGGGAAAAAGTAAAGGTGTATGTGAGTTCTAGATGATGACAAAGGACTTCAATGGATAGAGTAAAGGAGAAGCTAGGAGCATTTTGCAAATAGCATAGTTAGCAAAAGGGGGTGGAAAATGCAATGAATTTGTTTATTTTCAGGGCTAAAAGATGCTAAGTCAGATTTCACAAATCCAACTTATGTATCTTCTGCAGACTAAGCTCAAGAGAATTACAAGAGTAGAGGATGAGGTGTTAGGTTAGGTTCAATTCCATTTTGAAGTGTAAAAGTTCTCTGGATGACTTGGGCCCGGCCCAGTTTATCTCACAGGGTTACTGACAGGATAAAATTGGAACGGGGCCTTGTTTGAGTGCCCACAGAAAAGGAAGATTGAAGATGACTCGAAGGAGGAAAGTCCTAAATTGTGTTTTTGGTTGAGACACTAGGGATGTGTTGATACTCTGTGGTAATCAGTCTAGATCTAGAATATTCACATGGTTCTTCATTATTTTTCTGGCTCTTCTATGAAGATCCAGATGCTGACTTTTCCACCTTTATACTTAGACAGTGGGAAAAGTTTCATATTAACCTTCCTTAAATATCTCCCCTCCAAAGAAAAAAAGGAGATTTTCTTTAGATGTTGCTGACACAACTTCATAAAAGCTACAAAGCTGCCTTTTTTGCTTTTATGCTTTCATTGGAAGTAAACGCTGTGATTCACAGAATATAGTGATTTCTCTTCTCTGAATCAATGTCTGTTCGGGATGCGGGGGGGTGGGATTGTGGATATTTGCCCAATTGGATCTCAACTTGATTTAATTTGGTTTGAATTTTCTTTACAGAAGCCAGCATGGAGTGAGCATAAAGCCCCTGATGGGCGGATCTATTATTATAATGCTGAAACCAAACAATCAAGTTGGGAAAAGCCAGATGAACTTAAGTCTAAGGCGGAGGTGAGAGTTGTTTTCTATGCTTAGTTGCTGAGCAACTTAGACATTGATTTCCACTCCTCCCCACTGCTCTTGTTGACATGTATTGGATCTCTGATAACTGAAAGGCATGCCATCCCAGGCAACAATCCCCTCTGGTTTTTCTCCTAAAAAGTAGGGTTGGAGTCATAACCCTAAGAATAAACCTAGGAAATGATCAGGCTGATAAAGCACAGGCACTCAGAGGAAGAGTGGATAGCATGGAGAAGATTTAGGGATATGGGATACATAGAATTAAAGATTGAAGAGGTTTGTTGCCTGTTCCAGAAGAGAAGGCCAGAACCAGCAGGTAGAATTTACAAGGGAGTTGATCTCAATCAATGGGGGAAATTTTCTACCAGCACCGAGTTGCTTCTGCATGAAACAGTCTCCATGGATCATGATGGATTCTACTTCATTGTGGGGAGCTAATTGGAACCTGGGCAACCATCTGTCAGGGAGGTCGCAATTCCAACATTCAGCAGTTGATAGGGTTAGGATCTCTTTCAAGTCTAACCATGCTCATCAAATTCTCTTAGATTATTCCATGGAATCTGGGAGAATTTGTTGACTACAGGACTTGCTTCCATCGGCTGGATGTGAACCAGATAAGCTGCTTTAGAATAGGGGTGTCAAACTCATGTCGTCACGGTAGTGGCACAAGATGTAGCAAGACTTTTCCCCTTTGCTAAACGGGGCATGGGCATGGCCAGCATGTGTCACATGGGCTGGGAGTTTGACAGCCCTGCTTTAGAAGAAGGCCATCA